GAAGAAGAAGAAGAAGAAGAAGAAGAAGAAGAAAGTGGAACAACAGAGGATTAATTGAAACTGACTCTTCCAAATCAGGGCAGATATAAGGTTATAGGGTCACATTGGGTCCCCAGGAGACCTTGGAAACATGTTTGCCCCCAAATGCCTCTGGGGGCATAGGGGACTTTTGCCATGTTTTTGGAGTCGTAGTAGTAGTTTTTGTTGGGGCAGGGGGCAAAGTTGGGCATGCCATGCCTGCATGGGTGCTTGTTGGTTTGCTCCTATTGCACAGAATGTAGTTCTGGAAACAAAGTTTAGTATGATATGAAATTTCATACATGTTTAGTTCTTTCCCTTCCAAAGGAAATGTGCAGCGAATCCCATGTAAATCTCACTGAGTTCCTTGTGGCTTAAAATAAAATGTGCTCTGGATGAACACCTTTGGTGTGCCTGCCCTTCCCTGATCATGTTAATTTTGTGGTGTTGTTGAGCAGCTTGTGCAGAATTACTAAAGCCAGTTAAATTCTGTTCCACTCATTTTTATCAAGAATAAACCACATCCAACTGGAAAATGAGAAATAAACAGACCTGGAAGCCAACTGGTGTGAGCTGCTTCATTAGTACTAGAATTTAGATATGAAGGGAGAGCTTATCAATGGAATGAGCTTGTTTTCTGCTGCTGCAGAGACTAGAAGATGAACCAATGGATTCAAATTACACACACACACATACACATACACACACACACACAGAGAGAGAGAGAGAGAGAGAGAGAGAGTTCCATCTAAAAATTAGTGAGAACCTATTGACTGTAAGAGCTGTTTGACAATGGAATGGACTTCCTTGGAGGGTGGTGGTCTCTCCTCCTTTGGAGGTCTTTAAACAGAGGTTGGTTGGCCATCTGTTGGGAGCACTTTAGTTGTGTATTCCTACATGGTTAGGCTAGATTGCTTTTTGAGATCTGTGATTCTACTATATTTTTATGGACTACATTTACTACAACTTGGTGCCTTCTTTAGCTTGGCACTGTGGGGAGGCACACAGCTCTCACTCTTTAAGGCTTACTCTAGGCATTATCATTGTTGTTGTTGTTG